GAACTTTGGGGACTTGGTGGGAAGAGTGAGAGGTGGGTGAGGGATAAAAGACTACACAGTGGGTAGAGTGGACACTGCTTGGGTAATGGATGCATCAAACTCTCAGAAATCACTGCTAAAGAACTTATCCATGTAACCAAATACCACCTGTTCCCCAAAAACTATTGAAATAAAAAAGATAAAATAAAGCTGCTTTAAACGTTCCTAAAAAAAAAATCTTCTCTTAGCCATAATAATATAGAAATTTGCTTAAAGTTACAAATTAACAGAAAAAAAAACATTACTTTCTTAGTACCTTAGCCAGTACTGCAAGACTTAACATGGGCTGCAATTCAGCTCATATTAGAGACTGTGATTCCGAAATTTAATTTCATAAGTTGTAATCAGTGACAAAAACATTACAATAGAATATGAGAAACATTAAAAGGCAATTTCGTCATTGTTGACTACTTATTAGTTTACAACTTAGTTGATTAAAATTAAAACAATCTTAGCCGAGTACGGTGCCACGTGCCTGTAGTCCCAGCTACTCGGGAGGCTGAGGCATGAGAATCCCTTGAACCCAGGATGTGGAGGCTGCAGTGAGCCAAGATTGCACCACTGCATTCCAGCCTGGGCAACAAACCGGGACTCTGTCTCAGAAGAAAAAAGAAAAGAAAGAAAGTTAAAACAATTGGTATGCTTTCTGGTGACTGGTGGTAAAATGATTGTTTTACAAACTTTAAATAAATATATTCAAATAGAAATAAATGAAATGTAAAATGGTAAAGTTGTTTTGAAAAACAGTCTGGCAGTTCTTCAAAAAGTTAAACATAGTCATCAGTCAGCAATTCCACTCCTAGGTATATATACAAGAGAAGTGAAAACATATGTCCACACAAAAACTTGTACATGGATATTCATAGGAGCATGATTCATAACAATAAAAAAATGGTAACAGCCCATACATCCATGAATTTATAAATGAATAAACAGAATTGGTATATCCATACAATGGAATACTATTTGGAAATAAAAATTAATAAAATACTAAGCATGTATCAGTATTAATAAGAGTTAATAAAATACTGAGCATGTATTAGTATTGTATTAATTTTTATTTCCAAATAATATTCCATTAGTCTTAGTTTTCAAGGCTCATCTACGAGCCTTGGAACAGAATAGAGAACCCTGAAATAAAGCCAAATACTGATAGTCAGCTGATCTTCAAGAAAGCAAGGCTCACTGTGTTAAGTGAAAGCATCCTGCCACACAGAAGCACATATTGAATGATTCCATTTGTATGAAATGTCCAGAATAGGCATGGCTAGAGCTGGGAGAGGCATAAGGGAGGTGATGGTTAAAGGGTGTAGGGTTTTATTGGGCTGACTGAATAGTTCTAAAGTTGACTGGGGGCCTGGCACACTGGCTCACAGCTGTAATCTCAGCTCTTTGGGAAGCTGAGATGGGAGGATCGCTTGAAGCCAGGAGCTGGAGACTAGCCTGGGCAACATAGTAACATCTTGACTCTACTAAAAATAAAAATAAATTAGCCAGATATGGTGGCATGTGCCTGTAGCCCTAGCTCCTTGGGAAGTTTGAGCCCAGGAGTTTGAGGTTGCAATGAGCTATGATCATGCCACTTGCACTCCAGTCTGGGCAGCAGAGTGAGACCTGGTCTCAAAAAGATAAAAATAAATAAAAATTGAAAAATAAAGGTGATTTAGGTGATGGCTGCACACTTCTGTGAATATACTAAAAAGCTTTAAATTGTTTACTTTAAATATGTCTATTATATGGTATAAAGTATATCTTAATAAAGATATTTATAAAAAACAATTATACTATGCAATGGCTCTTAAACACTCAAAGAAATATTTAAAGCTATAAAAAAATTGAAAGAATGAAAGCCACTCCTGTACCTTTAGAATGTAATTTTTAAAGTGAGAAATGGATGTAAAATGTCCTAGTATAAAGGTACTTACTGTCTTTCCATGCTGGCTATTTCCTGATTATCATCTTTAACCTACAAAGGCATAAAAAGAAAGTAGTATTTAAAAAAATAACTCATTGTAAGGCTATCTTAAAGACAATTTCCTTCTAGAGTGCATTGTACTAAAGTGTCAAATCTAGTATCCTTCTTGAAATCTATTTTTTAGACTTCAACCTTTGAAGTTAAAGGGAACAGCACCAAGGAACCATTCACAGATTCCATCCTTTTTCCTCAAAGTAAGGGTAGTAACTGATATACTCATAGGCACCCCCAGGTGCCCCCCAGGCACCATCAGGTTAGCACATCTTCAGGCCTGGATAAGTTGATATAAACAACTAGGATTTCTGAGAGTCTCCCTCACTTTCCCACAGGTAGGGTTTTGCTAGATTGAGCGAGTCCAGTTAAATTTGAATTTCAGATAAGTAGTGAATATCTTTGAGGGGATATATATACCATGTAATATTTGGATTATTCGTATCATTCATAAGCAATGAATAATTTTTCTATATCGATATATGTGTCTGAAAGATTATTCATTGCTTATCTGAAATTGAAATTTAAGTAGCTATTCTGTATTTTATGTGGTACGTGTACCTCAAGATCACTCCTCCCCATCCTTCAATGATTTATTTCCAAGGAACTACACAGGTTCTAGAATTAATACCCTTCTGGAATGATTCTAATAATTAAATAGTCCCTGAATTGATACCTAAATTTCTTCTAAATGCAATGGGCTTGATCTAAGTCTAGGGGCAAGGGAGTCCCTGACTGGAGTTGTGCCCAAATATAGATGAAGTTCTCCTAAGGCCCTTATAGTTAGGGTGTGTCACGATAAACAACATGCTAATTATAATTTGGAGCTAAACTATATCTACCCTTGGGGTAGTAAGAAAGCTACTAAATATATGTTACATGTGTCATGACTTTAGGACATACGATAATTTCACAGGACATTTTAATTCCATGCTCTTCATGGAGGCACCGATAATAACAACCACAAAAAGTCATTAGCCTTGGCATACTCCATTTTCTAAATACAAGGCCCAAAACAAAAAGGAAACATATCTTCCAAAAGATTATCTAAATATTTAATGACCAATAAAGAAGAGTTTCAAGTATTCCTATAAGGAAAAGTTAGCTTCACCTACGATAGTATGAAATACTTAAGAAAATCTAGACTGGGTGCCTATAATCCCAACACTTGGAGAGACTGAAATTGGAGGATTGCTTGAGGCCAGGAGCTTGAGACCAGCCTAGGCAACATAGTAAAACCCCATCACTACAAAAAAATAAAAATAAAAAATTAGTGTGTTGGCACATGCCTGTAGTCCCAGCTACTCAGGAGGCTGAGGTGGAGGATCGCTTGAGCCCAGCAGATCAGGGCTACAGTGAGCTATGATTGCACCACTGTGCTCCGGCCTGGGTTACAGAGCGAGACCCTATATCAAAAATAAATAAATAAATAAAAAATAAAGAAGAAGAAGAAGAAAATCTAGATTAAAAAGTCATTTCTTCACATAAACTATTTTTAGACAATACACTTACTAGCTTTTGGTTGCATTAATATCCCTTAAATAAAACAAATCAATACATGTACCAAAACCAGACATCTTAAAATAAGTATGTTTCTTTTGCCCACCTGCTTAAGTAATTTCTCTCTCTCTTCCATTGGAGATCCTATGCTTTTGTCTTCTGCAATCATTTGATCTCGATGGGACTCCAACTCATAAAGCTTTTCATGCAGCAATACAGCCTCCTGTTTCACCTGGGAGTGAGCTATTTCCTAAAGGAAAATAAGAAGGGAAATTTTTAATTTGTATTTTATCAATAATTATTATCAAATAGGTTTCGGGTAATAAGAATAGGGGGTAAACTACCAGCATCTTTAAATACAGACAACAAGTATCATTAGTACTCAATAATGCTACAAAGCACATTCCTAAACTGGAAGAATAAAAATAAATCCTGTATATTTTAATAAGCTATTTTCAATCTAAGATTCACAAGAAGTTGATAGCCTTAGTTTATTTTATTTTCTACATATAAGACCTGAATAAATATAGGACAACTCTACCAACGGGAGGATAAAGACAATGTCAAAACATATGTGCAACTTTAAACACAATGTCTGATTCAAAGTCCACAGAAGTGATCTTTGGAGAGAAGATATTTTTCCCTAAATAGGTCATAACATATATTTTTCCACAATTTTGTGAGTTGAATTGTGTCTGCTCAAAAGGTAAGCTGGAGTCTTAACGACATACACCTGTCAATTTGACCTTTATTTGAAAATAGGCTCTTTGCATATTTAGTCAAGTTAAGATAAGGTCATTAGGGGTGGGCCCTAATGCAATATGATAGTGCACTTTATAAGAAGAGTACAAACGCAACAGAGACACACAGGCAGAATACCATGGTATGACTCAGGCAAAGACTGAGATGATGCAGCTGCAAGTCAAGCAACATCAAGGGCTAATGGATACTACCAGAAGCTAGGAGGAGGCAGAGCAAGATTCTTTCTAGAGTCTCAGAGGAAGCATGGCTCTGCTGACACCTTGATTTCAGACTTTCAGGCTCTGGAACTGTGAGAAAATTTGTTTGTTTTAAGCCACCCAGTTTGTGATATTCTATTACAGCAGCACTAGGAAATTAACACATGAAATAACAGTTATTGTGTACTCACCACTATCCTACCTTTCACAGAGAAAAAAATAAGGACGTGACAAAAATGTTATTAGATTAAAAGAAAAAAAAAAGCTAGGAATGGTGGTGGTGATGATTAAAACGACATTTGAAACTCTTGTTTACTGAGCATCTGTTCTGTGCCAGGCACTATGCTGCATGTTATTTATATGTTATCTCTACTATCCAAAGTGATACTCTACAAGACAGTACTATCATCTCCATTTTACAGATGAGAAAACTAAGGACCTGAAACGTAAATAACTTTTCAAAGTTAACAAAGACATAAGAGTTAACAGTGACATTTGAAAACAGACCTACAGCATGAACAAAACAAAAGTCTTAAGAGGCAAGATCTCTTCTCTCTCTCTCTCTTTTTTTTTTTTTTCTTTTTTGAGACGGAGTTTCACTCTTTCACCCAGGCTGGGGTGCAGTGGTGCGATCTTGGCTCACTGCAACCTTCGCCTCCCAGTTTCAAGCGATTCTCCTGCCTCAGCCTCCCAAGTAGCTGGGATTACAGGTGCCCGCCACCACACCCAGCTAATATTTATTTATTTATTTATTTATATTTGAGACGGAGTCTTGCTCAGTCACCCAGGCTGGAGTGCAGTGGTGCGATCTCAGCTCAATGCAAGCTCCATCTCCCGGGTTCACGCCATTCTCCTGCCTCAGCCTCCCAAGTAGCTGGGATTACAGGTGCCCGCCACCACACCCAGCTAATATTTATTTATTTATTTATTTATATTTGAGACGGAGTCTTGCTCAGTCACCCAGGCTGGAGTGCAGTGGTGCGATCTCAGCTCAATGCAAGCTCCATCTCCCGGGTTCACGCCATTCTCCTGCCTCAGCCTCCCAAGTAGCTGGGACTACAGGCGCCTACCACCACACCCAGCTAACTTTTTGTGTATTTTTAGAAGAGATAGGGTTTCATCACGTTGGCCAAGGTAGTCTCAAAACTCCTGACCTCGTGATCCGCCCACCTCAGCCTCCCAAAGTGCTGGGATTACAGGTGTGAGCCACCACGCCCGGCCGACCTCTTCTCTTTTAAAAGTATGAAAGAAGGAACCTCCAAAAAAGGAAAGAGTAGACAAGAGAATTTTTCAAAGTCCATAAGCAATGGATTATATATACAGTTCAAGTAATAGATTAGGCATCAGATAAGATAAAGGCATGCTAAAAAATACATATAGAGGAAATGCAGATATTTTATGCTAACCTTTTTCATAGTCTCTTCTCCTTTTTGCCTAACAATCCTATAGACTTGTTTGAATTGCATCTTGATAAAACTGTTCTGGAAGACTTAAGCTTATGTTAATTCTTCACCTGATTTTTTTCCATTCTTGTGAACTGAATAAGTATGACCTAATACGTTGTACAGTAGTGAACATAAAGTATTCAATAAATACTAGTTGATTGACCACTATCTGACACATATTTTCTTGAAGAACAAGTCCTAAATAAATAAATAAAAGAAATCTGGGCTGGGCATGGTGGCTCACGCCTGTAATCTCAGCACTTTGGGAGGCTGAAGTGGGTGGATCACGAGGTCAGGAGTTCAAGACCAGCCTGGCCAACATGGTGAAACCCCATCTCTAATAAAAATACAAAAATTAGCCGGGCATGGTGATGCACGCTGTAATCCCAGCTACTCAGGAGGCTGAGACAGGAGAATTGTTTGAACTCAGGAGGCGGAAGTTGCAGTGAGCCAAGATCGTGTCACTGCACTCCAGCCTGGGCAACGGAGCAAGACACTGTCTCAAAAAAAATTTTTTTAAAAAGAAAGAAATCTGGCAAAAGTTAAATAGAATTAGTGACTTATGTTATCCTAATTTGCAAACATTGTGTATCTTTAAAACTCTTGTTAATGTAGGCATAAATGTACTGACATCAGAGAAGAATGGCATCAGTACAAAAAGTAAATCTAAGGTTATAGCTTATCTTCTTCCTATGGAAATTAAACTCACCAACTGAAGTAAGACTTGACTCTCACAAACCCACTCCAAGAAAGATTAGTGACGAATTCTACAAGCTGGTTGTATTAATACTAAATGTGGTCCTTCTTTCTTTAAGCGTATTTCCATCACCAGAGATCCAAGGAAATAAAAATTAAGTGTATTTATAGATGGACAATCAGACACAGAAAACTACCTTCCTATTTTTTTTTTCTTTTTTTTGAGACGGAGTCTCACTCTGTCGCCCAGGTTGGAGTGCAGTGGCGTCATCTTGGCTCTCTGTAAGCTCTCCCTTCTGGGTTTATGCCATTCTTCTGCCTCAGCCTCCCAAGTAGCTGGCACTACAGGCACCTGTCACCATACCGGGCTAATTTTTTGTATTTTAGTAGAGACAGGGTTTCACCATGTTAGCCAGGATGGTCTCGATCTCCAGACCTCATGATCTGCCTACCTCGGCCTCCCAAAGTGCTGGGATTACAGGCGTGAGCCACCATGCCTAGCCAACTACCTCACTATTTTTAATTAAATAACTTTTGCAATAGCAAATTCTCAAAAGAATTAACTACAAAATATTCATTTCTTTTACAAGCTAGGGTGTCAGTAATCCATCAATCTACAGCAGTTCCTAATACTATCATCATGTCATCCACCTGAATCCACAGGGAATCAGGAAAGGGAGGCAAGATTTAAGGTACAGTCAGTATACCGAAATGCCAAAAATATGAAAAAGGAGTTCAAAGAAAAAGAAATTCATTGGCCAAAAATGATATAAACAGATACTCAGCTTTATGCATAAATAAATGAAAATTCAAATAAGGTAGTAATTTTTACCTATCAAACTAGCTAAAATTGGAAAAGTCAGATAATATTTGCTGTCAGTGAATGCAGGGGAAATAAGCATTCACATACATTACATCTAGAAGTAAAAGTTGGAACAACCTTTTTGAAGGCAGTTTGGCAATATTACAACATTTTTAAAGTGTATACCTTTTGACCCATTGTGAGAATTCAATCTTATGATATACTAATACAACTTTGCATAAAATGTATGCTTTCGCCGAGAATTGTTTATAATCCCAGAAAACTATAAACAACCCGTTCATTTACAAGGCTGTGTTATAATTATACAACATAATACAACGTAGCAATTTAAAATAATGAGGAGGTTCTCTAAGAACTGATATAAATAGACACTGAATATATAATGTTAGGGTGAAAAAAAAGCTGCAGATAGCATAGCAAGTATGAACCCCACTTGAGGTTTTTCACAACTGTAAAACCAAGATGGGATTTAGGACTCTTGTGGGGATTATATGAAGATGATGCTGATGTAAGTTTACAGCTCAAAAAAGTATACAGTAAGCACTTGATAAACGTCTTTCCAGTAGTTCCATCTGGAAAGAAGGACACAAAACAGACATTTTTACGTTAATCTTGTTCAACTATTTTTAAACCATAAGCACATTTTGTTTTGTGAATTAAAATGTTTTAAATAAACAAATAAGAAAACAAATGGAAGTTTTTACATCCTTAAAGAGATGAACTCATGTCTCTCCCTCTTTGTTTTTAGTCTCTTGTGTATGTGTCTTTAAATTGCCATTAGAGGCTGAGCACAATGCCTCACGCCTGTAATCCCAGCACATTGGGAAGCCAAGGTAGGCGCATTGCTTGAGGTCAGGAGCTGTAGACCAGCCATAATGATACCCTGTCTTTACAAAAAGTAAAATAAAAATTAGCCAGGTGTGGTGGTTCCTGCCTGAAGTTCTAGCTACTTGGGAAGCTGAGGAGGGAGGATCGCTTGAGCTCAAGAGCTTGAATTTACAGTGAGCTACGATCATGTCACTGCACTCCAGCCTGAGTGACAAAGACCCTGTCCCTAAAAAAAAAAAATTTTAATTGTTATTGGATTTTGCATGTCCTAGGTTGGGCAGAATGATTTGTTTTATACATAGTAGGTACTCAATAACTGAATCTAATTTCTTACCATACTAGGATCTTTGTGGGTCCAGAATAGGAAGAAAAAGTATTAAACTCCTATTAGTAAACTGCCAGATCAATATGTACTTGAATTAGTTTACTTGGCTGAATTAACTTTTTTAACTGAGTAGTATGAGAACCCTTATTTGATTTTACACTTACTGCTTCCATGCTCTCTTTCTTCATGTTCTGTGAATCCAATTGTTGTTGAAGTGTATCTAATTCCTAAGTGGAAAAAAAAAGCAAACATAAATCCAAATTACATTAAGAATACTTTGTAGTAGTGGGGGGAGGGAGCTTGGAAAAAAAAATTTGTTTCTCTATTTCTCAACATTTCAAATACAGATGTGACAAAGTAAATTTTCTAAATATCTTCACTGGCATCTTGCATTTTGACTAGAATTTATTAACACTTCATTATTTATATTTTTCCCATCTTCTTTTATTATTCTTAAAAACTTGCTGTGTGCCTTCAAAAAATAAAAAACCAAAAAAAAACTTCAAGAGTTTCTCAAAAGTAGCTAGACCTTAGACCTTTTCACAGTGAATCATCACTATGTTCTGAGACATCAAGTATCAGAAGATTTCAAATTATGTCATTGTTTAAGGTTATTATTTAAAATATTGATGTTTAATCGTGTTTTCATATCTTTTGCCTAATTTCTCTATACTATACACATACACAACACATGCACACACACATACACATATATGTAAATATAAATATGGTTCACTCCTAGGATAAGATCCTTAAATTGTTTACTCATTCATTATCCCATACAAGATTAAATATATTTTGGAATTATTTTGGCATTTCTATCATACTCTTTCTTTCCTCTTTCTGAGACAGAGTCTCGCTCTGTTGCCCAGACTGGAGTGCAGTGACATGATCTTGGCTCACTGCAACCTCCACCTCCCAGGTTCAAGCAATTACCTGCCTCAGCCTCCCACGTAGCTGGGAATACAGCCGCCTGCCACCACACCCGGCTAATTTTTGTATTTTTAGTAGAGATGGGGTTTCACCATCTTGGCTAGGCCATACTCTTTCTTCAATGCTTCATTGTATCTTAGAAATCTTGTCTAAAATAAAAAGGTTACTAAATTGTCAGCAAAGGAATGTCTCAGAAACTAAAACTATAATCATTATTGGCATTTATGGGGCCTAATTCTTTGCTTAATCTTTATTAAGGGCCATCTGGGCATGAAAGGGCACCATCATGACTGAGCATTGAGAGGATTCTCAATATCCCCTAAGCAGGGATTTAAATTGCTTATTTAATATTACATGTTCTCACTCATCTGTAGGAGCTTAAAAAAGTGGATCTCGGCCAGGCACAGTGGCTCACACCTGTAATCCCAGCACTTTGGGAGGCCAAGGCAGGCAGATCATGAGGTCAGGAGATCGAGACCATCCTGGCTAACACAGTGAAACCCTGTCTCTACTAAAAATACATTAAAAATTGGCCAGGCATGGTAGCGGGCACCTGCGGTCCCAGCTACTCAGGAGGCTGAGGCAGGAGAATGGCATGAACCCGGGAGGCAGAGCTTGCAGTGAGCCGAGATCGCACAACTGTACCCCAGCCTGGGTGACAGAGTGAAACTCCATCTCAACAAAAAAAAAAAGGGAGGGAGGTAGTAGAATGATGGTTACCAGAGGCTGAGAAGTTGGTGCCCAGCTGGGGGCATGGGGCGGTGGACGGGGAGAGAAGGAATAAATTCTCATGTTTGATAGAACAGTAGGGTGGCTATAGTTATCAATAATTAATTGTATGTTTCAAAATAGCTAGAAAAGGAGATTTAAAATGTTTCCAGCATAAGGCCGGGCACAGTGGCTCATGCCTGTAATCCTAGCACTTTGGGAGGCTGAGGAGGGCGGATCATGAGGTCAGGAGATCGAGACCATACTAGGTAAGACGGTGAAACCCTGTTTCTACTAAAAAAAATACAAAAAATCAGCCAGGTGTGGTGCAGGCGCCTATAGTCCCAGCTACTCGGGAGGCTGAGGCAGGAGAGTGGCATGAACCCAGGAGGCGGAGCTTGCAGTGAGTCGAGATCATGCCACTGCACTCCAGCCTGGGAGACAGATCAAGACTCCGTCTCAAAAAAATTTTTTTTAAAAGTTTCCAGCACAAAAAAAATCCTAAATGTTTGAGGTGATGAATATCCTGATTATCCTGATTTGATCATTATACATTGCATACATGCATGGAACTATCACATGTACCCCATAAATATATACAACTGTTGTATATCAATAAAAAATTAATTTTTAAAAATGGATATTTAAGCAATATAATTACAGGACAATAGCCATTCAAATCATAATGCTAACAGGTAAAAAGTTTAGCTGTTTATTACGCAGGAAGGAAAAGGAAAGTAAATAGCTATATGGAGCTGGTCTATGAGGACTTCTTTTTTTCTTTTTTTTTTCTTTTTTTTTTTGAGATGGAGTCTCGCTCTGTCACCCAGGCTGGAGTGCACTGGCGTGATCTCAGCTCACTGCATCCTCCACCTATGAGGCCTTTTAATGTTTGCATTAAAAGTCTATAACTGAAAGTATTTATAGACTTAATTTATAGACAAGTATTTTTATAAATGCAAGTATTTTCATGTGTCTTTATGAAATGCAAAATGAATAAATAGAAGTGAACAAAAAATAATAAGAGTAAAAGCTAGGTCATCAAGCAGCATACAAAAACGAAGTTTTCTAAATAAATGCTTCTGAAATGTGAATGTCCGTTTGAATCAGTTGGGGACCTTGTTAAAATGAAAACTGATCTCAAAGTCTAGTCAAGCTCTCAGGGGATGTTGACGCTGCTGATATTCAAACTATAGTGTTAGTAGCAAGACTGATAGATGCTTGGCACAGAGTAATAATTCATATTACCTGTAACAGTTTCTCATTTGTGGCTTTCATCTCTAGGTACTTGACTTGGTTTTCAAGAGACATATTTTTGATAATGTCATCTGCTGCTTGTTTTTCCTGTTCAATTTCTTCTTCTACGCTTCTCATTTGTTTTTCTTTCCTAAAATCAAAAGCACGTAATATTCCTGATACCGTACTGAGGAAAAAATATCCAATTATTTTATACAAGTCGCAGTCCTAATTTAATAGGATACTTAAAGATACTCAACCATAGTGTGTGACTGAAAAGTCTTTATATTTGTACTAAAAAAATGCTATTTGACCTATATAAAATTTGGCCCCATTAGCACAAACTTATTTGGCATCTTTCTCTTCTCCATCCCCAAATTCCTCTATTTCCTTACTCTCCATTTTACTTTACTAAGAAATCACAAAGATTATCAAAGAAAATCTTTAATGACTTATATATATGAGGATGCATTTATACTTTTTAAAAGTTATACCTTCAAAAGACAAATAAGAGACTGGGCTCGGTGGCTCACATCTGTAATCCCAGCACTTTGGGAGGCCAAGGCAGGTGGATCACCTGAGGTCTGGGGGTCGAGACCAGCCTGGCCAACATGCCGAAACCCGATCTCTACTAAAAGTACAAAAATTAGCCAGGCCTGGTGGCGGGCACCTGTAATCCCAGCTACTTCGGAGGCTGAGGCAGGAGAATTGCTTGAATCCAGTGGGCAGAGGTTGCAGTGAGCTGAGATCGCGTCACTTCACTCTAGCCTGGGCAAAAGGGCAAAACTCCATCTCAAAAAAAAAAAAAAAAAAGATAAGTAAGAAGTTTTAGAATTGTGGTTTTCAAACATCCTTCAGCATAAATTTTTTTGACCAAATTAAATATTGTATAGAAGTTTGCCATGTAAGTCATCCAGTGCAGCTCTGACAGAACTAGGAGAAGAGAGGCCTGCAGTGCAGTTTGATTTTTTTAAAGTTACGGCTTTAGATTAATAATATGCTTTGCTTAAATTCTCTTTTACTTACTGCTTTAGTTAACATTGCTGTTTCACAAATTATTGATATTTTTTAGCACTGTAAAATATTAAGCTCATTTCTCTAAAAACACAACAAACATTACAAATATAATTACACAAAAGTAGTAATAGTGAAATTAATTAGAAGCAATAACCATTTTTATCATGTAGTCAAAAGAATACCAATGACATGCCACTTGTTGCCTAGGCAAGGTCAATTATTGATAGGGTAGAGAAAAATTATGAAAAAAGAATAGGTAAGATGCCACTTATCTAAATACTTTCAAGATTTACATTTTATAAAAAGCTGGATTGAACATACATTTTCAGTCCCAAGATCATTAATTTCTATTTTGGGTTTCAAAATCTGATTAACCTATCACTATTTACTCTCTTTCGCTCATAGATGTAAACTTCTACAGTTGTCACCATCACCAGCTAAGCCTGTGGATCCACAAATCCCCTATACACCTTCTACACATTCATATCCTACTACTACAATAAACAACCTAAACTCAGAAATTTCCCTACCAAAAAAAAATCTAAAATAACCAAATAAAAGATGAACATAATAAAACAGACAACCTGGAATTTCAATTTATTTTTGTGTCACTATTGGAGAAGATGTGGTATCTTCACTTGAAGCTTCAATTACAACAGTATAACAAATGTGTTTCCTGCTGCTACAATTTGTACAGGTATATGAGCTCACAGAATTTGAAAGAGGCAAATATTTATTTCAATTTCTTTGTTTCATAGATTAAGGATACTGAAGCCCAGTGGAATTAATCTTTTGGAAGGAATTCATTCTAAACTTGATTACTGACCACCAACAATGTTTCTTCCTACAATGTAGGAAGAAGAACTAATGTTATAAAGTATTCCATTTTACAGAGGAGAAATTACAGCATAAGAAAGGTAACTGACTTTCTCAAGGCCATATGATGTCCAGGTGTCAGGTCTTTTTGATGCTTTGAGTACTTTGCTCCTGTTATAAGTTGGCAGTAAAACCACTGATGATGGTGTCATAAAAATAAGTAAACAAAAAAGTTGAAACTCAATAGAATACAAAACTTGGTAATATCTTTACAATTTGAATCCCTCCTTCCCTCCTTTCTTTTCTTTTTCTTTTCCCCTTCCTTTCTTTTCCCCTTCCCTTCCCTTCCCTTCCCTCCCCTCCCCTCCCTTCTCCTTCTCTCCCCTCCCTTCTTCCTCTTCCCCCTCCTCTCTCTTCTCTTTTTCTCTCTCTCTCTCTCCCTCCCCCTATTTCTATCTTTCTTTCTTGACAGGGTATCACTTGTCACCCAGACTGGAGTGTGGTAGCACAATCATGGCTCACTGCATGCTCAAACTCAAGCCATCCCCCCACCTCAGCCACCCAAGTAACTGGGACTAAAGGCACACAACGCTATGCCCTGTTAATGTTTTTACTTTTTATTTTGAATAGAGACAAGGTCTTGCTAAGTTGGCA